GCTTGCTGGAAACATCAGTACTTTCCTAAAAAATATGAAGTTGGCAGAAGTGGCGTTATTCCTAAAATCAGGCAAAACTCCGGCAGAACCTACATCTTACAGGCCAGTCTGTCTACTGCCAGCGCTCGGTAAGGTATTGGAAAGAGTAATTCTTTACAGATTGGACTTCTTCCTGCAAAGGAACAACGCCCTGCATCCCAACCAATATGGATTCCGAATGGGCAACTCAACTGAACATGCCATAAAAGACTTAATGGCCACTATCAAACAGAACAAGGATAACAATTTGCACTCACTGGCAATAGCCATTGACATCAAGGGAGCCTTTGACTCCCTTTGGTGGCCAGACGTAATAAATTTGCTGCACAACATGGCGTGCCCAACAGCCATTATTACCATCCTTCGCTCGTACCTTCAAGATCGAAGTGTACAAGTAACATCAGACAGCGGCATTTATGTCAAAAATGTCTTTAGAGGATGCCCACAGGGGTCATGCCTTGGACCAACACTGTGGAATATAGTGGCAAACTCGGCATTTCGTCAGTTTGAGAGCGTAGAATACGCTCGAATCATAGCCTATGCGGACGATTTTATGCTAGTTGTGGCAGGAAGGAGGAGGAGTAACCTCGAAATGAGATCTCAATACTGTCTTGATCTGTTCTCCCAATGGGCCAGAGCACATAAGCTTCAGATTTCGGCAGAGAAAACTAAAGCTTTGCTCATAGGACGCAGCAGGCAGCTAAGACGCAACCCAAGCATTAAACTCCATGGGATACCGGTAAAATGTTTCCCCCAATTGAAATATCTTGGGCTATTACTCGACAACAGACTTTCTTGGATGCCACATGTCAGGAATCTTAAGACTCGAATTAGCATCCTAAGCAACAACATGAGACGCATGACTTCACATAAATGGGGTATCTCATCTAAGCTACTAAAAATTTGGCATAGAACCATTACAGAAAGAGTAATAACTTATGGAGCAGCAATCTGGGGTGGCGAACTTACCTCTCATATGAAAAGATCCCTGCTCTCTATTCAGAGACAGCAGCTACTTCAAGTATGCAGGGCCTACCGTACCACGTCAACACTAGCCCTACAACAACTAGCAGGAATTCCTCCCTAGATTTGATAGTAGAAAGGGAGGCAGCTATCGTAAGGGTTACCAGGCTGGGTCAAACTTCAACACTCTGGGGTCATAGTTATCACCACTCGGACTACGAGGAGCAAAACAACTGCAATAACTTTCATCCAGCAGCTTTTAATCTCTCTGACGGTATCAGTATAAACGACCAACCAATTCAGAGGTACAGTAATAACCTTTTCACAGATGGCTCCAAAACTGAGAACGGCACGGGCAGCGCCTTCTGACTAGAAAATGGAGTTGTAACATTCGAGTGGAAAAGGAAATTAGGCTTGAACAACTCGGTATACCAAGCAGAGCTTCTAGCTATCAGTGCTGCAATTAGATATGCGAACACATGTCAACAGGAGAAATTCTCCATACTCAGTGATTCGGCATCAAGTCTGGCGGCTATCGCAAGTCAAAACAGCCGGAGTCCATTGGTATACAGAATTCAGAAACAGCTTCTGACAATGCCTATTTCGCAAAGACCCACTTTAAAATGGGTTCCCGCTCACACAGGGATTCAAGGCAATGAAGCCGCTGACCTACTGGCCAAGCAGGCAGCCAACTGCACGGATATATTAGAAAGACCAACTAAACTTCCTTGGTCTCATATTAAGCGAACAACTTTGACAAGTCTGCTACAAAATTGGCAAAGTAGATGGACAGAGGCAGAGGTAGGACGAAGGACATTTCGCTTACTGCCAAAAGTTAACATGGAAATAAAGACCCACTGTGCTAGCCTAACACAGTTCTTGACAGGTCATGGACCATTCCCAGTATACCTGAACAGATTCAGACTTAGGGATACTCCTTTCTGCGAATGCGGAGAGGAAGGCGACACGGACCATTATTACTTCCATTGAAGAAACCAGCGGACTGTGCCTGGGCAATGTGGACGACTAACACACTCAAAAACAGAATAGCCCTTGATAAAATAGAGAAAATCTCAGAACACTGCCTAAGCAGAAACAACCGTGGATAATATTATAATGTTTCAAAAGTTCAGAACTTAAAGCAGATAACCAGAATAACGCTTAGTGCCTTGCAGTTAACAATATGTAAAAACTGTTATTAGTTTTATAATATTCAACCTTGTTACTCTGGAGTCTTTCCCGCCGTGATGGTATATAATTCCGTTTGGTTCATGTCCGTGGTCGGAAGCCATCGTAGCGGTGCACTCACTCACTCACCTTGTAAATCTGTCATCCGAAAATGAACCAAGAAACGTGACGATCATTAACGCCTTATTTCAGTACGCAATTTTGAGCATATTACTGGAGAACGACAAGCATGTTATTAAGTGGTGTGACTGCTTTTTATAGTAATCTCGACTATTATAAATTGTGGGTATTATCAACAAAAACACTAAATCAGCGAAACCGTAGACTGATTATACCTTAAGTGTTCTCCAACAAACGGGGTAATCAGCTACATGTTGCTCTACATGTCTAAAGCTCCTTCAAACACAGAACATATTACTTTTCTGTGATTTAACTCCATTCACCAGAAATGTCGTCTATTGAACATGCATGGAATATGAATACCTGGCGAATGGCCCATCATTCTTCTCCTACAATCACTCTTAATGAACTGTGCAGTCCATTCGAAGTAGCTTATAAGGAAGATTTTCAGGAGCAAAAGCCTTTTTAATTCGATGTCATTCCACATAAAATCTGTTTTACCACTGTTGGCAACTTCTCAAAATACTGAACTTATGTGAGTGGCACAGTTGTATTGGTCTGACAGTTTAATCGCTTTTTTATATCTTAGTTACATGTGGCATAAATTTCTTTTTAATTCGTTAATTCCTTTGAGGTGTAGCAACTTTCACAAAAATGATTACAGCTTGACCAGTGACTAGATGCTATGACGCAAAAACACACGTTTCTTTATATGAAAATTTTCTGTATGCAACTAATTATTTTCTATCAACTCCATTACTAGCACATATGAATTCATTTTTTAGGCAACAAAACTGATACTGATTTTTCCTTGAGCAGAAAATCTAGTCCAAATGATTGTTGAATTCTCATCTAACTAATGGATCTTTCTAATGAGCTCGGAATCTTAAATCATTCAGTATGAACGACACTCAACTCAACCATCTAGATTTAATTTCTCATTATCAAACAATACTTCATACACACTCATGAGCACAAGAGTAAGAATGACACAGAAAATGTATATGCAATTTTTTGAAATACCAATTTCGTTAAGCTCTATTCTCAGTGATAAAAAGGGCTGGCTGCATGAATATTTTTCTTTTCTGCAGCGTATAATATAAATGCAGGCCATTTTCCTTTAGAATGTCCTCCGCGAAAGTTTTTTTCCCTTAAGTAGAGAGCCGTCGTGTGCTTTGCCATTGCCAAATAATCAAATCCAATCCGTATACGTTAATATCAGTATAGGTGGTTTTCATCAAATCAGTGAAGCTGCAGTTTTTAAATTACTATTCAAATATTTCAAAACTCTTCTTTTTTAATAAATGTTGAATTGTATTTTATCTTAGATAGTCTGTACTGTGTAATAAGCGCAGATACACGACGTTCCAAGCGAAGAACGCCTTTGACATTTTTACCCTAATCCTTGAGTTTTAATCCTTATAAAATTCAAAATGGCAAACCTAAAATGCCCTAAATTTGTCTTAATAACAGTTATTGATTCTGAAAAATTCAGATTTGTTGATTTCACTTTCTTGCAACTTTGCTTTCATGTGGTATTTTTCTATTTATCAAAATTTTTCATGTAACACTTTATTGTGCTTGCTTTATCATTAAATATCAAGGTTTTAAGCTAATTTTTCTTAAACAGCATTAGTGTTTAAAAAAGTATATCTTAGATTTTAGTCAGCATATATTTTTTTTTAATTTGTAAAAATAATTATTAGAAGGGTCTAGGAATTTCTTCGAGCCACGGGAGTGAAACAAAGAATATTACCATATATTGCTTTGGATATATTTATAGCATTTTCTTTTGAATCTTCCCTAGCAATTTCTGGTGTCTAATAATTATGTCCTGCACTGTAAGAAAATTCAAAACTGTGTTCATATTCCGCGAAAAATGGTACTTTCCTTAACCTCATTAATTTTTTTTCTCTAATATCAATCTTACATTCCTTTAAACCAGGGGTTCTCAACCAGTGATACGCGTACCACTGATGGTACGCAAGAGAAAAATAGATGGTACGCAAAGAAGCAAAGTATTTTTAACTATTAAATTCGAAAATTAAAACTCCAACATCCTGATTGGGTTTTTCTCTAACACTTGTAAATTTATGCGATCTGAGCTTTGTTCAAGAGTGGTGGTGTGATAAAGGTTTTCAATTTTTGTTTCGGTGGTACGCATTAGTCAAAAGGTTGAGAACCGTTGCTTTAAACGATATTCGAAAGTTCTTTCATTTTCCGAAAGCTGATCTGAATTTTGTACTGAGATTCTTTTATTTGTAACAAATGCATCTTTGTTTATTCAGTTAAGAGAAATGAAGTGTATTGATATTACATAAATCAATAATTAGGTATGGATATTAGTGCGCAATTTGTGCTACTATTTAACATCAAAAGGTTACGCAACCTGATTATTCAAAATAAGAATAATTTATTTTATATAACTGACCTTGGATTATGTTGCACTAATTTTACGTCTTGTATTAACATATCTGCAAAGAAATTTGAAATTTTTTAGGTGCATTTTGGCCTCTAATTTTCATTCATAGAATTCTTACGCATGCACTCGAATTTCTGACAGAAATTTTCATTAATTTCCGAATTCTTCCTACAATTTTATTACAGACAGTATTTCTGTAAATAATTTATTGCTATAAAAATTGTATATCTAAAAACTCATGAGAATTTTCCCTTCTTTCTCATCTAAGGATTAAAGCGAAATCAACCAACGAAAATAACGGTGTCACGTAAGTATGTTTTGATATTTATTTCTGCATTCTGCAAGTGTGTAATGTAATCTGCAATTATAAATTTATACTTAAGATAAGATTTAGATTATGTAGTCAAGACAAAGCACACGACAGCTATCTTCCTAAGTTCCGTCCCAATTTCTACCAAATGAGCTCAGGAAAACGGAATCTGAGAATCCCATGCCCCCTGCTCGCTTACCGGTAACCTTTCTAGAGGTTTGTTTGGATAGTAAAATTCTAAATGTCTCCTCTTCGCAAAGACGCTTTACGTCTTGTATACTCATTATTATCTATATTTTATAATTATTATCTATTTTTTCGATTTTCTGTAAAGCCTGAGGTTCCAGTTAGTCCAGATAACTGGAGTTCTACAACATTCATGCTGAACTGAGTATTAGTTCACATTATTTTTTTCAAAGCAGATTCTTATGTTCACTGAGTATCCAGATATCTAAATTTGAAACTTCTTTGATTTTTGGTTACAGGGTTTCTTGAATTCAGGGACATACACTGATCATACAGTTTTGGTAGCAGTTTTCTTTTTAACAGTGTTCAATACAGTGCACAATTTCTCCTATAGAAATCTTATACGTACGCCTTAATTTGCCTTCACATCTATTACTTAATCTTTATTAATAAATATTGCAAGATGTTTTGTATTTTTTAATAAATAAAGCACCATTTATTTTATGATTATAATCAAAAGGTCTGCATACTAACATCCTCAAAAACGATTTCATGGATTTATTGTTTATTAAGTCATTATGCATTTTCAGTTCACTAAAATATATTTTTTTTAAAGAACGTTTTGTTGTCTTAATATTGCATGCCTCTAGTGTTATTTGAGGAGATTCGAGATACATTTCTGCTTCTTTTACTTATTCCTCTTCTTTTTTCCGTCCAAATTTACATCTGCCCGTCAATGGCCGAGTAAATAAGACGGCAGTTTAAGGTTTCTTTTATGTTTTAAAGTAAATATGACCAAGTCCTTCATGAGGTGTTCGTCAGACATGCACAGACTTGTGTAAAATTAAGAGAAATTGCAAATATGTCTATTTTTTACGAAAAGTTTTAAAGACTGGGTTTTTAGGGGACCCAATCGCCAAATCCTGTGTGTGGAGAATATCCTCGTCCAACACCATTTTAGTTCGTGCGCCATTGCAGGGACATTAGGTATTTTTGGAAGTAGGCAAGATGAAAAATTAGCAAAGCCTTCGCCGGGAATCGAATCTCGGACCTCTGTAATAACGGCCCAGCTAAACCACGAAGGCAAGCTAGGAAAGCGGGAGAAATATCTTATAAAGTATTGAACCAAAGGTACTAATTATGCTGCCTAAGAATTGTGCAAATATTAAGAGTCGAATACGCAAGCTTATATGTGCGTGTCTGCGGAGCTGTGAGTTTTGAGGTGATATAAGCACACGAGGGGGTTTTCAGCGAATTGTGTGCTTGTACTCCTTCACGACATTCGCCATGTTTCTTGCAGAAGTTGCATAAATTTTATAAGATGTCGGGTAGAATGAGTAGCCACGAAAATACGGATGAAGGAATGAAGTGGAGAATTGTAAGTAGACTGGAAGCGCGCCAATCCAAACGCAAGGTGGCTGCATGTAACGCCCAGTTTTATCTGCACTTTGTGGAATCAGTTTCAGGATACTGGATCCATATCGAGAAGACCTGAACAAGGTCAATCAAGATCCAAAAAACCAATGATAATCGTTATTTGACACTTTCAGCATGGCGATACAGGACTGCTACAGCTTCTCGCAGCTCTCAGTGCTAGCACTAAAACCCAAGTTTCACGGTCTATAGTTGCCCGAAAAGCTTTATGAGATAGGGCTGTTTACCAGAAGATACGCTCTTTGCGTCCCGCTCACTGAAGCACACAAGAGGGCGTTTAGCATAGTGAAGACAACATGCGCTTTGTATCAGACTTCAGTGGAGCACAGTGTTTTTTTACAGATGAGCCGAGACTCAACCTAGATACTGATTCTTGGCGTAGATCTGGAGAGTGCCTAGAACAGGATATCATCCCTCCCTCATCAGGAAGGATCAAGCAGTGGCCGAGCGGTAACGCTGCTGAGCACTGCTAATTAGACTTGGGATCGAAGCCCAGCAAACGGTTGGCTGCAAGGTTGGGTTTCGTGGTTTTTCCCGTGAATAACGTGGATACGAGCCGATCTTCCACGAAAGCATTGCTTCCCATAGGCAGGTAGCCCTCGAAATGATTTGCCTTATTCAATTAACCTAACCCTCATTAGGAAAAAGGATCATTATGTTGGTGGAGGTGTAATGGTTTGGGCAGGTATTATGGTGGACGGCCAAACATCTCTGCAGCTGTTTGACAAAAGTTTCCTGAATTGCTATGATATATCTTAGAACCCAATGTTCGACTTTTCAGGGGCGCAGCTGATCTTCGGTTCCTGTTAACAGACGACAGCTCTCGTTCATATCGTGCTCAGCTGGTCGCCCATTACCTGTAAAGTGAAGATATTTGCAGCATGAATTGACCAGCCTTAACTTTAACATTATACAGCACGCCTGGGACGCGCTTTGGAGGGCAATTTCATCTCGCCATCCCCCTCCGACAACCACCCCGAAGTTGAAACCTGCTTTGCTGCAGGTGAGAGTCGATGGCCACAGGGATTCCTCAGGTGTCTGCAGTCCAATATGCCATCACACTGCGCGACCTCACTCACTGTAAATGGGGACCATATCCCGTGTAAAACTCATTTCCAGTTCGATATCACAACGTGAATCTTGGACATCTTTACGCTATGAGCTTTACAGATAATCATGCATACATAAAATGACTTTTGAATGGTACATCTCTTTCTTTGTCATAAATGTATATTCATACCAAATTTCCTTAAAATCTGTCCTTAGTTTCACAAAAATTCGACATAATATGCAAATTCTTTTATTTTGCACACGAATGCATTTCGATGATTTAACCAAACCAAATAAACTCACTGAAATTTAATTCTTGTTTTGTTTTTGTAGGTATAGAAATTCTACTTGCTTCAAAAGTAATGCTACAGAATAAAATTTTATTTATTTATGTATGAAATGACTCGTTGTAATCAAAATGTAGTGGTGTCAAAACCATTTACCCAAAATTTTTACCTCATCTTTAATTCGATATTGGCGCCACTTGTAAGATGGCAGACATATCTAAAGCAGAGCAATCGAATTCTTCCTTTTCTGTTTCGAATCAATATGGTTGTGATGTGTTAATTCTTACAGAAATAAATAAGATGGTTGAGTTATGAAATGCAAAAAATAAGTGCTGTACGGGGATGATCGCAAAGACTTTGAAGTGCCTATTTTAGAGGAACAGACTATAACTGTTCAGTTACTTGGCAGATCATATTTGATTTTTTTAAGACACATAGCCCTCGTGTGCTTTGCCCTTAATGAACTAAAAAACAACCTACAATAAAGCTTATTATTAGACGAAAAATATAACTGTTCTGGAAAATTATATTACTTCTTTCGTTTTCCAAGGAACATTAAAATACAAAGTGTGACAGATTTTTCAGTATGGTCAAGAAGTACAGGGTAGACTTGTGGCAAAAGAAGTAGACTTGTTCCGTAATAGTTTAAGAAACTTCTTTTCGAGGAACTTTGATTTTTTCCCCTTTTTTATGTTACGCTATATGCATTTTTTATAAACACCGCTTCGAAAATGCCGCATAGAACTAAACATATGATCACTCAGTTATCTTCCCCGCGGCCTCTCAAATAGTCATTTTCTTAAATGTTACCTATTGCAAAGGTAACAATCTTTTAAATTCTTTTCCTAATTAAATCTACCTATAATTGCATAGCAAGCTGAGAAAATAAAATGAAATCAATACATTCTTTGATAATTAAAATCTTTATTTTATTTCAATAACCTATCAGAGTGGTATAAATGAAAATATATACATTTAATTTAAGATATATCAAACTGAAAATTTTATCAGCATTTCCACTTTTGCTGTTGTAATTAAGAAAAGATATTTCTAAAGCTATATTTTGTACTTAGGTACAGAATCTTTGGGCATGTTAGTATTAAACCACCTACATGCTCTGAAGTCCTTTGATACTTTTAAATCCTTAAATTTAAGTAACAGTACTGTATGTGGCTCACGAAGAATGCGCCACAGCCAGTGAATAGTCAGCACAATTCGTACTGTCAACAATATGTTACTTACTCAGTCTGAATAATCTTTTCCTAAACAGCCAAATTTTCTGTACGTTTAATATGCAATGGATGGTTATAATCAACATCTAAATTTCTGCAGCAAAAATGTTATTTACTACAGTTATCTTTCCATACGTTTTTTATGCTTTTAGGGCCCACCAGCGGCCGAACGTTGAATACTGGTTCTTTGATTCGAGCTTGATTCCAGGTGAATAGGCTGGCTGAGTGGCTGTTTTCGGGGCTTTCCCCATGTGTAACATACTAGATGCGAGCCAGCTTCTCTTACAACGTCCTCCACAAAGACATCCCTCCCTTATAACCCTCGTGTGCTTTTTCAATAATCAAATAAACTAAGCCAAATTATTCTTTATAACGATATTGGAGAATTATTTTTATCCGTAATTTTTCATGTTTATCAAAAAACCTACATGAAAAATTCGTACGATCGGAATAACATATCTGAATTTAACCGAAAAAAGTTTAAGATAAATGTCATACATTAAATTATTTTTTACAAAATAATACAAAATTCGAAGATAATTATTTCCGCTATGTACTGCATATGGAAATCCGATGTATAAATATTCAATGCCCTTTATGTATTTCACTAGATTAGATTGTTATATAAACCTCTTATGCTTAAATTATAAAATTTTAAATAATGTGTAAATTGTGTTGTGTAAAAAATCATATAATGATTATCTTTATTCTTTCTGTAGAGAACCTATCCCAAAACTTCACAGTTACTATTGAAATAAAACGTAAGTATGAATTTCTTCTGACTTGATTTTTTAAAGCACTAAATTTTCTAATGTGTGTTTTATCGACACGTGTGCAGAAATGGAAAACTACCATTATTCTGTATAACTAAATTTAAAAACTGTATTTATAAATATGTGTTTGCTACTATGTACACACAGTACATGTATCGTGTTCACAAAAATCCTTACCCAGCCTTTTTTTCCCAAATCATTGGTCATAGATACAGACTTCCAGATACAAAGATATTTTAAATGACACAAATATTGATAATTAGTTATTTTAAGTTTAAAGAAATCAATTTTGTAAAAATTATGAAATTTGACATTTTATACGTTCCTCTGCTCCCTATACTAGTATTTAGGAATACTTTGTACTCGTTCTAAAAAAGAAAAAAAGTTTGACTCGTGTATTACAAAAATTGACCGCGGTTTTGATTTCAAATTTTGCGATGTTTGATGTTACACTCAATTTGCGTTAAAGAGTGTAGGTTAATGAATAAATTAGCATAATTCAAGGTTATTATTTTCTCTTTAAGTTGAGTGATATTGCTTTGTGATTTACTAAGGTCTTTAGTTTATAATCTTTTTAGAATTGATATTCCGAAAACATTTTTACACGTGTATTTAAAAGTTTTCAAAATCTAAAAATATGTTGTTAATATTCTCATGAAGTTTTATTAATTTAGAATCATAATCTGGTAATCGTACAAAAAAATCTATTAAATTACAAAAAATTTTCAATTTTAATTTGTGCAAGAAATATTACGAGTTGGCTGCGTACCAGTACTGAAACCTGCCAGTTTTCTCCACAGCACGCATTCTGTAAGTTTCTGTGAATAAGGTCTCCATTTTTAAAAAAAAAATTATATTGATCAATACTTTATAAAGTTTAGTAATCTTTTTGGCAATCATAAACTGTGAATGAACTTTACATAGAATGGCAGCGAATAATATCCAAGTCTAAAATCGCAAATGAAACTTCTGAGAAGGGTGTGATCCTTTTATTTAAAACTAGGTGTACCCGCCCGGCGTTGCCCGTGCATTTAGAAAATGCAGATAAGTGAATAGCGCAGGAATAGTAGTGTAGGACATGTAGACTGTCTCTCTCTCTCTTCCCCCCCCCCACAAACTACAAAAAAGAAATGAATTGTAATTAATCGATTTAATGTATCGTCAAAACAGCAAACTAACGCTAGAATAAAGAAATCAATTGTTACAATCGAAACGTTATTTGAAAACAAATAATAATATCAGTGAGTCAAAAAAACCGTGATTAATTAATTATAAATAATTTTTTTTAATTTTTCTAATTCAAAAATCGAAAATCGGGCTTCGAGGTCTGGTGGCCAGCCCCTTTGTGCTTCCGTATAAAAAATTCCAGGTCCCTGCGTGCGATAGATTTGGCTGGAGAGCTCGGTCAGACAGACAGACAGACACATTACACTTGCTTTTATTATTATAGACTAAGAACTAAGAAGCCTCAGCTGCCAAAGTGCGAATAGATTTTGGCACTTTGGCAAACCATCGAAACTAGTCCTGTGAAAATTTGCAAATATAACGCTTTTTGTTCTTCCCCCTTTAACCATAAAATTCAATTCAACAACAATATCACAAAATATTTAAAATGAGCACATCTTAAGAATTTCCGATACATAGTCTCTCGCGCTGGAGATAATTTTTTTGTTTTTTCTCCCGTAGAGTGTTGTCATTGCTCGCTTTGAAATCGTTAAGTGCTCGCTTTGAATCGTTTAAGTGGTCGCCTTACAAAAATGATGTCATCGATGTTTATTAATGTTCTTATACCTATTGCTCGCTTTGAAAGGTGAACCTCTTCAAATTTGACAGTGTTTTCTTCTTTCAAGGTTACCTTCATCTGACGTACTACGTTTGCTCATATTATTGATGGAAAGTCAAAAACTTTTCTTTCAGGTTCAATTCTATATTGAGGAACAAATACAAAAACGCGAGCTGGACTCTCTCACTGGAATAAAAGGAATGGTAGAACAGAATGGCCTGTCATTTAAGCAAAAACTTCAAAAATGTTATGGCTTTGAGTACAAAGAAATAATGACGCAGAAAACTTAGCTCCAGAAGTGACCAAAATCTGCCCTGTCGCATTTTAAAAGTTGGCACAAGATGATGAATTAGACATTTAAGAAAGCTAGAGTAATATTACTTGTATATTAAAGTTATATTTCTAGCAGCTCATCCAGGGCCAGATTAAGACTCCCTAAGCCCCTAAGCACTTGAAAGATTTTGGTGCCCACACGTAAGTTTACGTCAGTTTTTTTCCTTCATTCATTCTCTCTAACGGTTTTGGTTTAGCTGCCTGATGCACTCCCTAATAAAACCCGTAATGGAAAATCTTTTCATGTCGCCTTTTCTGAATATCTAAGGACTTTTTTGCGGATGCTCTAAGCACGTAAACTTAATGGTTAATCCAGCTCTGGGCTCACCTTCCGGAAGACTCCTTTTTCGTTAATGCGTTGTACAAGATGTTATCAAAAATAATAATCGTTCTTAAATATTCTGGATCTCTGTCTGATGTTTCATCCAAATTATGGTAACAATTGTCACGTATTTCTCTCATCTCATCAATAAAGTGAAAAATCCTGCAGTGTTTCTCTGCTTACGAGTGATGATAAAAATAAAATCCTTACCCTGTTATGCTGTTCAAAGGAAGGTCCTAGAGGAGAAAGAAACTGTTTCTTTCTGCTAAAACTGTGAAAGACTGAACTTTCATTCACTGTGCTCCAATAACTCCCGCTTTTAGTGGAAGCGAAGCATTTTCCATTCAGATGCGTTTCGCATACATAGCCAGTACATAGCCATACATAGCCAGTGATATTCTTTCGACTAAGGATTCTTTCGTTTAAACCAACGGTAGGTAGAAGGTTTCTCTAAAGTTTTCTTGTAGCGTTGCTTATCGCTGGATGTAATAACACCATTACACTTGAGATTTGCATGAAGTCAAACTGTTTTAAAAGCTGGTCAACAGACGGTGCAACTTATCCTTCCAACGAAGATTAAGCCAGGGAATTCAGATTTACTGCATAGTTCAAGACGTGAATAGCATGAATTACCGCAGATTGTGGGGTTTCTTTTTTCCAATTTTTTACTTATATTAATGATTAAAATGAAGTCTGAATTTTTAGCTAGATAAGTAATATAATTTTTTTTCCAGCAAAAGGGGACAAAGAGGTCTGTGATTTACCCGTCAAAAAAGGAAGATGCAATAACTCTCAGTTGCGCTACTACTACGACAAGGATAAAAATGCGTGCGAAAAATTTACATATACTGGCTGCAGTGGAAATGCCAATAATTTCATTTCGATAGAAGACTGTGAAAATTCTTGCTTGAGTATGTTTTTTCAACATTTTATTGATACAAATTTTAAGTGACAAGATTTTGCTTTTACTCTCCATATAGACCTTTTCAATCATTAACCTATTTTTTTAAAAAATTACTTGTGCGAATCGGGCAAAAACAGCAACATCGAGTATTTAGGAAATCTCAAGCAATGTAATCTAAATCTGAAGCAATGTCAAACGTTTAATAGACACTTGGAAGTTAAATAAATTTGAAGCCAAATTCTTACGTACGATAAAGGCCTAAAATTACTTTCTAACTTTTCTACATAGTTTCCCTTGACTCAATGTATCACAGCTATCAGATAACAGTCGGAATTCAGAGTAAAAAAAAAAAAGTTTTCTCAGAGCTTTCTAGCAATTCCTGAACACTATCCTTCAAATCATGATAGTTATTTTAAGATGAATCATTCAAATGTTGCTTTTTGGAGTAAAGCGAAGTTACTTGCAGCCAGGTCCGGAGAATATGATGAATAGGGGAGAAGCTGAAATCGTCAGTCCGGTTAGTAGTCTGAAAAATATGAATCTTGTGCGCTAGAACACTTTCAGGGAAAACGTAGCATTTTCTTGCCAACTTTGCCTCTATTTTACTCTTATGGTTTGTCGGAGTTGAATCAATATTAGCATATGGACACATATTATGTGGCATATAATCAATAGTGGTTTCTCTTTATTCCCTCCCGCACCCCCCCCCCCGAAATGGTTCCCAGAAACTTCCAGATAGATTTCTGGGTTTTGAACATGTAGGACTGGGAAGATTCATCATGTTATCTAGTTTCATTCTGCGCCACAGTGGTTAAACTATGTGTTATACCTCTTGTAATTAATCATACATAAATTTTTATCGGTAAATATCTTTCCTAAAGAAAGCAATTTTTGAGACTTGGACTCCATGCTTTTTTCTTTTTGGCGTTAACATTCTGGCTACCTATCTAAAACAAACCACTGACATCCTCAGTTTTTTCCACTGAATGAAGAGGAAAATGGCTGTCTGAAAAATTGTCACTCTATTATGCTATGACATATTTCATGACTTACCACTCAATTTTGAATATGCCATAACAAGACAATTATAACACTTTCACTATAAATGTCATGACATATTTTATGACTTAGCACTCATTTCTTCAGTGGTCATGTCCGCTCTGGGGCTTAGTCCTCAAAAGACGATCTTTTCTATCCAAATGAAGTCGCCCATCTTTTGACGGAGGGAGCTGTTGTGTCACAACTTACTGCAATCATTCTTTCATTAATATTTATTGATGTTACGCCTTTTCTTGTCAAGAATTCAATATCTGAACTCTGACTGGTGTTTTTAATATTAACAGGTCCCTAACTGATATCATTTAACAGCTTGTAGGGAATTTTACATTAATTAATCAATTATTTATAATTTCATTCTTTACTATAACTTCTCTCCTTTCCATATGCCGGTGCAAAAGAATAGCGAGTGTTTGAATTGAGGTTTTTAAATTCTAAGATAGCGTGTTTCTGGCATCGCGTGCATGTTACGTTGTTAATTTCTTGCCAGCTCTTATAGTTGTAATTATTCGGCCTTGCGTTCTTTAGATGCAGACATGATAACAAAAATTTGCATATAGTGAAAAATATAGCTATATGTTGTCTATTTTTTAACTTTATGTTCTTACGTAAGATGCAAAACAAAGCTAATTAGTCGGAGTCCCTTTTTTGGCTTCTTAGCCACCTGCGGGTCAGTTAAACTTCTTCAACAGCATCGAAAGTTTAGTCCTCATAAATCGTCTGAAGGTATAAAATGAAAGTCCATATGGCTGGAACTTCAGTTGGATTGGTAGTGCAAGATATAATTAGTCCAGCCTACTAGCGTGCATTTTAACCTTTCAATATGTTTTTCGATTAGTTACGTTTTTGTAAGATTTTTAAGTTGACAACTTTTCATCTCACTAATATCAGTAGATACGAGTCCATACATGATTGTTTCCCGGTTAATATGCAAGGATTGAAAATCATTATCATGGAGATTAATCAACTTAATCAATACAATTTATAAACAAAACATTACTTACATTATTAATTAACGTATTAAAAGTCATGGGATGGCTCTCTAATATTATATGGGATATACTTTTGGTCAATGAAGTCCAGCAACTCGCCGTGACATAGACTCAAAAGGTCGGCGAAGTTCCTAGGTTCAGCCATGCTGTCTCGAGAATCGTCCATAATAGCGAGTTTGTGTTAAGCGTTGAGTCTATAAGGTATTTCTCCCGCCTTCTTAGCATGCCTTCGTGCTGTCAAGGCCAGCACACTCGGCGCGTATTCGAGAGGTCCGTGGTTAGAGTCCCGGGGAAGCCACTACACATTTTTCATCTCTCCTGCTTTCAAAAAATACCTAATGTCTCACAGGTATTGCGCGCAAATGACTCTCGATCATATCACGAATAGGTTCCACTGGAATCATGTCTGAAGATCTAGCTGACCAAGTCATGTGCTGAAGAATACACCTCAAACCAATCGCAGGCATCTGGAACGGGTTACATAACACATCATCATCCTGGAACATCTCGTCGTTATTGAGATATGCATGATGTCTATAAAGGGACCGCAAATAGTCACTAGACAGCTCAACATATTGATTTCCTTTAAAGGACTGGTTCAGATTAACCAGTGGATATGAAGGCTAAATGAAGTTCTTTCGCTGATGTCGATGCTGTGATGTGAGTAAAAATAATCCATCTAGTCTTCTGCTGTCATATCGACACCAAATTTTCCTGTGCCATGTTCACAGACGTATCTGCAATGTACCTCTCATTGACCTTAATAGTCAGCTGTTATATTAATATTGATGATTCTGCTACAATGTTTCTGGTATCCATCATTCATCAGATAAGGACGACGATTGCGCTGTTCCTTTTTTTTAGAGGCAATGGGGCACCGTAAAGGGAACACAACAATTTCCGAAGTATTAAGCTGCACGTGTCAAGCTTCAATGATCATTCCGTGTCTAAACTAATTCTCGACGGATATCATTTATCATATTATTAAACATTTTACAAGGCATTCAATAATTTAATAGACAGCACTGATAACAATTTAATTATTTATTCCCTTTTAACACTATGCGAGCGCCATTTATACATTGGGTTGTTCGGAAAGTAGTAGGACTGAATATTTTTTAAAACATTTATTCAAAATTTTGATACATGAACATAGCTTTCAAAATACGCCTCTTCTGCATTACAAATACAGCGTTTCCAACGGCGAAAATACAGCGTTTCCAACGACTCTGCCAATCACTCAACGTCTCCTGGAATGCAGAAACTGGAATGCTCTTCAGCTCCTTCATAACGGCCCCTTGAATGGTCTGTACCGAACGTGGTGCCACCTTCCAAGACCCTTTTCAGTCAGGAGAAGAGGAAGAAGTTTGACGTATCGACTTTCTGGGCTACAGGGTGGATGGTGAAGCTGTGTAATGCCATGTTTCGTTAGGAAGTCCACGACAGCAAAGGCGGTGTGGCTGGACGCATTGTCCTGATGGAGCTTCCATGATCCAGCGGTTGCTGGATGGTCGGAGACTCGTTTTCTGAAGCGGTCAGAGTTCGAACGATTTTGCACTTTCACTGAGTTTTCATCATTTTTTGCCGTTGAAGAGCGTTCTGACAGTTGCTCATCTTCAGCTTACTCTCTTACCTGCCGAAAACATTGGTGTCCCTCAAAAACACTTGATCGACCCATGGCATAATTTCCATAAGCAGTCTTAATCATGTCATGAGTCTCACTTGTAGTTTGATGCTAAACTTCACTGCGTAACGCTGCTAATTATAGAGATGAAAGGCACTTTGAAAGGGCTTCACCTTAAACTCGAAGGTGTCGTCTCCGTGAAGGCTTGGAGAGGATTGGCGACTGGTGCGCTGGTACTTAAGATCCCCTTCCTGGGCAAACTCTGTATATTTGTATACTGAAATGATCTCATGACATTTGACATGTTCAGTGTAGTAAAAACAATATGCTGAATAAAAATTTATTCCTTCACTTTTAATTTTCTAACGCGAGGCGATGAGGGAGAATTACACGAGAAGTTTAAATTAATTTTAGAAAATGGTAAAAACCAAATATTTATATTATTTTTAAATTCTTAAAAGCCCTGTTAATCTTTAAATAGGTTTAATAGTCCAAAACATTTAAACACATACTTTTATTTTTCTGCTCTTTTCAGAACCATATGACTGCGAAGAAGGAAGCTTCAGAATCATTAAGAATGCAACACATGGCCGAATAGCGGAGATGCAAAAGGAATTTAAATATATGGTACCCGACCACTGCATTTGTCCGTATATTAATGAAGGTATGTAAAATCTGAAATTTATTTTTCTGTATTTATTTTAAATCCTATTATGCTATATGCACGGTTTTCATCTTTTAAATTTATTTTATGTCAAAAGAGAATTTTCAATCAACATTAAACAACTATAATTTTCAGTATCAGGAATAGATATTGCGATGAAAAAGGCAATCGGGGAATCTGGTGATTAGTTATAAATAAATAAAAGTAGATTACGTTTTGGAATAAAAAAATAAACAAAGTATAGGAAACAAATTTTATTATATACAGATGAAAGCCACACTCAAATACTACTTTTCTACATAGTCACCATACAAATTAAGGCATTTATCGTAGCGATGTACGAGCTTGGAAATTCCTTCGTCGAAAAACATGTCTTTCAATAACTTTTCTCTTTAAAAAACTTGTCAAGCCTTCGCGAGTGATAATGTGCTTAAAATAAATTCGGTGTTTTAAAGTTCATAAAATCAATAATCATCTTCAGTTGGATTTGAACGATATTGCGCATATTTCTACAGAAATTCTAACGTTAGCATACCACAAAAATTATTTAACTATAAAAATAATCTAACAATTAGAACACAAATTAAGAAATGACAAGAAAACACTAAAAATTCGTAATAAAATCTAATTTCGAAAAATTTTGGAAAATCCTCTAAAATTTGCAAATTTCGGAAGTTTATACAGGTAAAATGACTGGGGAAGTGAACAGGTTTGGTCGATTTTTATCTGAAGGTCGATTTTTATCGATTTTTATCTGAAAAATGAATAAGTTATTCTAGATCTTTCCCTTTTATATTTAAATCTTCATTTTCCATATACACTCTACAGCATAATAAAAGACGCAACAAGGATTTACTCGAATGGGATGAAATCGCGTATGCCTATACTTTACGATAGAATATACAAATGATTACGTTTTGACGAGCGATGACTGATTAGCTAGAGCTCCAGCGCACTGCAACGGAGCATCTGAATGGTATATAAAACAGAGAGCATTCGAATGCTAAGGCATTGTAATGTTCTCAGGATCAGGAAGGAAATACAGGATTTCAGGCAAGAAAACTGGAATGATAAAATCACTGAGCTTGAGATAGATTGTGATGCTTTCTGGCGCTTCACTAAAATGCTTAAGCGCACACACCAATGCGACAGGCCTGTAGTAGCAAATGGTATGACAGCCTACTCTGATAATGATAAATGTAAGGTTTTCGCAAACCACTTAAAGGAGCAATTTAGTCCCAACATAACACCATGCAATAATTCATTTGCACAGCAAGTTCAAAATGAAGTAAGTGAATAGCTGAAGATGCCTTCTGCACTTAATGTTAGCGGGCTGACTACTCCTAAGGAGGTTACGAAGATAGTCTCTAAACTTAGAAGGTCCCTGGCATTGACGGGATCACGAATCTCATGATCAGGAACTTGCCTAAAAGTGACATTACAAGACTCACAGGCATATTTAACGCTTGTATCATGTATTGCTACTTCCCAGAAAGCTGGAAATGTGCGAAAATATTTTTGCTTCCCAAACCCGCTAAAGACATCACTAAAGTAGAAAATCACATGCCGATTAGTCTTTTATCCAATCTTGCCAAGATATTTGAAAGGATTATCTCACAAAAATTTCAGCCCTACCTGCAATTGCCTACCTGATGAACATCGATCTACATACGACTTGTTGAATTCATAGGATCCGCACTCCATCATAAAAGCTGCACAGCACTGCCCATGCTAGACGTGGCCAAAGCATTTGACCGCATTTGTCATGAGGGCTTAATCTACAAATTAATCAAGTTTAATCTTCCCAGAGAGCTTATCCTACTGACACATTGTTACATCAAAAGCAGATTCTTCACCGTGAGCTGCAGACAGAGTCAGTCTGGCTACAAGATGATCACAACAGGGTCCCACAGGGGTCCTGTTTGGGGCCACTTATTTACTTATTCTATGCGGCGGATTTTCCAAGGGACAAATTAAATAGGAACACGCTACTCGCCTGCTATGTGGATGATACGGCGGTAGCAGTTAAATCAATAAATCTAACACAGCCATTAACGTATTGCAAGATATTGTACTTGATATTGAAGAATGGTGCTCCAACTGAAGGATTTCTATTAATGCTGATAAATCTCAACTGCTTATCGTACGCAGAAAGAAATTAAAAGTTGTTATTCAGCCACTGTACCTATTCGGCCAGCGGGTACTCACAGTTGACAAGGCCAAATATCTAGGCGTTTATCTCAATCAAAGGCTCACGTGGAACACTCATATCAACTATGTAGCTAACGAAACTAAAGGTGTTGCGCAGCAATTGAATCTTCTACTTGGTAGGTGTTCTAAATTGTACTTACGCAGGAAGCGACAAATTTATCTTTCTATTTTGCGACCTATCATGTGTTACGCCTCGCCAGTTTGGGCTACAGCGAAGAGCAATGACCTGCACAAATTGCAAATTGTACAAAATAAAATCTTGCGCACCATTACAGACACACATTTCTATATTAGGAACAAACTACTGCATGATAACTTGAAGGTAGAATACATTGATGAGTACCTCCATAGATTAAACAGTAAATTTTATGATAAGGGTTTAAAATGCACGGCGGGCAAATTTAATGCTTTTTTAAACTACATATGCATCCCAGAAGATGTCACACTAAAGCCATTTACTGCTCACAGAATGCAGGACCACAATTTCGTCACTTAAGCACGCACTTTGCTGTATTTCTCATTGTAAATATCTTTAATTTACACTTATTATTTGTTAATTTTTCTGCAACTTGATATCGCTACACTTGCACATGTATGTTTTGGTTACGAATATTTCTCATCACCTCTTTGATAAGTGGTAGTTAGTAATGATTATCTCAGCTTGACTTTGCGCTTCGCGGTCAACAGGCCCTCTTTCTTACCTTGATCCGTTCCCCGGCTGGGATTTAGTTGATAGTTTACAGTGTGATGTTTCCTAGGGATTAAAAGAACAGACCTTATAAAAGCCGCAAGGCTACATAAGCATAAGCAATTCGCATTCACGCTAAGGTATAACTTCCATATGAATGTGGTTCCATCGGTGTATGTGACTGTACCAATGCCTCGCAGACTGGTTCGCGAACAATTTGAGCAGTGTACCATTTGAGAGAGATTGTGTAATTGAACTAAATTAGAGTGGCCAAATCGCAGGATTGCTAGGCATTTGGATAGGAGCGATGCTATAATATCTGGCCAAACGTATTCGGACATCCCCCCTAAGTAAGTGATCTGGTAGGTGACGTAATTTGATATGTAACCGAAAGCTATAAAAGTGTTGATGGTGATTTGTTAGGTCATATTTATACTTTTGTGAGACAGTAAGTCAAAAGAGCTTAGTGACTTTGATCTTGGCATTATAGTGGGATGCCACCTTTGTGGGAAGTCAGTTCGTCAAATTTCGGAAATTGTACAGAAGCCAAAATCCACTGTGAGTGATGTAATTGTGAAAAGGAAACGCCGAGGCACTGAAACTTCAGAAAAACGAAGTGGCAGGCTGAAACAAATTAGTGAAAACAGCCGTAAAACTCTGAAAAGGGTAGTCAAATAAAATAGCAAGTACTTGTTGGTTGAAATCACTCAGATATTCCAAAGTTCATCAGGCGTTAATGCTAGCGGTAGGACTGCTCGTCGTCGGACTGCTACTAGCAGTAGGACTGTAGTTAAAAAACTTGGGATTTCAATTCCATGGTAGTGCAGCCGCTCACAAGCCGAACATCAGTTCTTAGAATGAGAAGCGTCAATTACAATGGTGCAAGGCTCATTGTCATTGGACTGTGAAAATATGGGAAAATGTTCTTTGGAGGGATGAATCTCGCTTTACAATCTGGCAATCCAATGGACGCATTTGGGTTCGGAGGATGCCCGTCGAGCGCTTCTTAAGTGACTGTATTGTGCCGACTCTAAAGTTTGGTGGTAGCAGCATCATGGTGTGGGGGTGTTTTTTATGGTTTAGCCTCGGTCCCTTATTTCCTGTGGTTGGAAACATGAAATCTGAGATGTATGTGGACATTCTGGATAATGTTGCTCTCGCAAATCTATGGCAATATTTCGGGGACGGCCGATTCCTTTTCCGGCAGGAAAGCTGCTCCATTCATACATCAAGACTTGCACAGTCATGGTTTGACGAAATGGCTGTTCAAAAGCGGGACTGGTCTTCCCACATCCCCGATCTAAATCCCGCAGAACACCTTTGGGATGAATGAGTACTCAGATTACGTAGCCAGCAAAAGCGACCATCCTAATTCCCAGCACTCATTTAAGCTGTAACAGACGCCTGGAAGTCGATTCCTATAACCACTTATCAAAAACTGGTGGAAATTCTCCCTAGATGTGTGCAGGCTGTCATCGATGCAAAGGGGGCAACAGCATCATATTAATATAGGCCTCAGGACTTTCCGAGATCATACCACTGGGCATCCGGATACTTTTGGCCAGAAAGTATACCATTCAACAATACTGGCAGGAATGAGTGAACCATTGGTGTACAAAGCGTCAAGGTAGCGGTCGACCGAGAACGACGACAGAATGCAAGGATAAATTGATCGATCGGTGCTTGTAGCCTCTGGTGCATCCGTATCAACGAACCAACGTGTTACCGGGACACCAGTGACCACTGATAGGGTACCTCACTGGCTATCAGTGGAAATGATAGGAGACTCTGCGAACGAACGCTAAGACCACGTAGGACCTTACGCTGAATGTCCTTCACAGTTGCATACCCCCAGACACGTTTGCGATGATGCCGGGCGCATTCGACCCTGAGATCTCGCGGACTGGAGTGGATTTGTCTTTAGCAATGAATCCCGCTTCGAGCTGAGCCCCGATGGTCACCGAAGACATACTTCGAAATGTCCAGAACAGCTGCGGTATACGCACCTGACTGTCATCCACCACACAGTTCGACAATCAAGAGTTATAGTACGGGGATCGTTTCGTGTGATAGACAGATCCCCTTGGTTGTCATCGTGACACCCTTACAGGATGGAGGTACGTGGACGAGATTCTACACCCCGTAGTGCTGTCTTTTCTTGTACGGACCCCTAGACTTACATTTCAACCATATTCCACGCTCTTCTACTGTTTGTATTATAAGACTTGATACTATATTATTACTATAAAACTCTTATAAAACTTTAGTGAAAAAAAGTCTTTTCACTAAAGTTTCATAACTTAACTTGTGTTGTAAATTCTTTGAAATATATACTATTTGCTTAAATGTAAAATTTTGATTTGAATTTTTCATTGAAGTATTTTATTATTTTACTTACGTTTTCCTTCTTTAACTAGAATTCTCTTTATTTAAGGTACAAGATTCTAATTAGAATTTACTTTGTTTTTCCCCTTACTTTGGGGAGGGGCCCGAGTTTTCGAATGAACTATTATAATTAAAATACATTGAAATGCTTCATCGGCTAATTCTGGATACAGAAAAGCAAGAATTTTTGTGGAAGATAGAATTTAATTGATTTCAGTGTTCCTCCTCCTGACGATGTGGTATTGAAGTTGATTGAATTCCTCTTCTATTATGTTCGTTTTCCTTTAAATTTCTTTAATTAGTGTGTTGCTGCATTTTGCGGTTTTGCAAACCACCATCCTCAGCTGCAAAACCGCAAATGATTTGCAGCTGAGGATGGTGGTTCGGTAAAACCATCGAAACTAGTCCTATAAAAATTTTGAAAATATAACGCTGATTTTTGTTGTTTGACTGAATTAGTATGCTTAGTGAACATCAAAATATTAGATTTAATAATCATAAAATTCAATGTATTGTTCCATTTAAGAGCTAGTAATTGTTATATCATCATATGACACGGAGGAGTCGAGATACTAGGAGGCAAGAGCGCTCCTTAGGCAATGACATCGGTCTTTTTGTTATTAGTTTCATTGTTTGTTATATCTGTTTATATTTTAGTTCTTTGTAACTTTTTGCCTAGCCATTGGAAATTTAAAAAATATATATATTATCATATTGACAAACAGTTTAAGAGGTATTAAGATAATGTGAATATTATTGGTTGGAATATTTCTACCTTTATTATTTATTAAAATGCATTTTGATAAACAAATGACACAGTATTCTCCACATCTAAAAAAATGCACTTAATACATTATGCTGGAAATTAATGTCAAATATTGAACTTCATCAATTACAAGACTATTTTTGCTTTTCTAATCATCTTAATTTATTTGAAAACATGCAAAACACATTTCTTGATTAACAAAAGTACAGTATTCAAAAGCTATCACTTTAAGAAGACTTCCTAAGGAAAATCGGCAGATATTTAAGTTACTCATCAGTACCAATATAGCCACTAATTCCAGAAATTGATCCTATTTTTACTACTATTTTCCAGTACATTAGCCATTGATCAGCTACATGCAAAAACAACAGTGCTTCTTAACTGAATGTATTTTATACATATTTCATATTTTGTAAAGTATTTTAACATAAAAAACATGACTTATTATTATTCAGTGTATAATATTATTCAGCTAGAGGCAGACCTAATAATGTTGTCAGACACTGATAGTTTTTTCACTGATTTGTTCGTGAAAACCAAATGGCTTGATTGTATTGAAACTTACATCTATTTTTTCATGTCTAATGTGAATACAGGCCAGTTTTTCTTATAAAGTTTCCAGTGAAGATATTTGTCCTCTTAAGCAGATAGCCTGCAAGGCCTTAATATACTAATCAACCATTATCTGTTACATTTTTCATCATCTAATGAAATATTCTTAAAAATTTTTTAATGATTCAATATTTATCTGATTAAATAATATGCATATAATATTTTTAATTTCATTTCAGATCCACAGGAAATAGCTATCTTAGCATATAATGTCACAGATGAGAATTTTGATTCAGCTCAGTTAACAGAAAATTACTACATTATACCAATAGCTGAAGATCAATTTGAAGAGATTACTGCATGTGAGACAGATCATATATCTGCTAGATCAAAGGCCACTGATGATAAGAATAAAAATCACAGTTTTGAAACTAAAGATAATGAAATAGAAACCACATCTGATATTTTTACTAACATCACAGACTTGGAAGAAAAGAATAATAATACAAGTAAAAAAGAGAAAGCATGGAACTTCTTTGGCTAAATCAAAATTATTGAAAAATGAAATGCTATGTATATAATGTGCATTAAATCAAAAGATAAATAAAAAAAGCTTACGATGAATATATAAAAATTCTCAGTTTCTGTGCATTAGCAGTAAATCATAATACCATATAAAAACTAATGATGAATCAAAATATACTATAAACTTCAAATATGCATATTAATTAAGATCTTTCCAGGCATTTGAAAAATCCAAATAACTGTACAATCTTTTCATTGTAAGCCAAATATGCATTTATTGTAATACATGTTGCAGAACTTTGTTTCTTCACTTATCACATTTTACTTCATCAAAAGTTATTTACACTTTGAGTACTTTTATTTCCTTAGAACAAAATATAATACACAATTTTCTCTATGAAACTATAATCAATTTTCGTAAGTATATGACCCATTTCTATGCCAACTAAAGTAAAACAATGGATTTCTATACTGTAAGTCACAAAGTAGAATAAATATTAGTAACTTATAAAAAATATATAATTACATTTTTGTTAACATACATAAGATAGTTAATTAGCAAACACTGTAAGGCTGATCCATATATCACACAGTCATCAAAATCAGAACTCTTAAAACCTGATAGACTTTGAGCACCATAAAACTATCATGTCAGCTCAGAGAGCCTAAGAAATTGAATTTATTTTTATGAAGCCCTCCAATGCTCAGAAAAATAGATATTGAAAATATATCAATGATTCATACACTTTAATGGAAAATCAAATCATTACTTCATTATAATATTACTAACAAAACCATTCTCTACTTTATATTAGTTTCAAAAACAAGAGCAATAGAATAAATTAAATAATTATTTTAGATGCTTAGTTTTGCAGTATTCACGGTATCTTTCAGACTTTAATTTTGTCTTTAAACCCACAGAAAGTAGTTTGAACTTCCAAGCTTCTATAAAACACAGTTTCAATTGATCTAAATTTATTTAATATTTTTTAATAATTTATACTGCCCTATATTATTTTAATCATTACAAATCAAGAAAAGTAGATCCTTAGAAAAAAGAGCAACTTACATCATAAGAATAAGAATTTCAACATAATTCTACTGGAACTGAAAGAATTAGAAAATATACAGTCAGTTGAAGCTGCAGATAGCAAGTAAATGTAATCACAATTTATTACAAAATGTGTTTTAGAACAGAAATATAAATATAGTAATTTTTACAACATACAGTCGTCAGGAAGTATAGAGATATTTTTAAAGTAATATTTATAATGTCATAATTCTGCATACAAAAATTTATCTTCAAGAATCAAAAGTTCAACATTAGCCTGCATAACTGTTTCATAAGTAACAGGATATTGTAGTCATTAAGCATGATTACTTTGCTTATTGGTTCATAATGAACATCTAGCTCATACTTATGAAATTAACATCTTCAATGGAAATCAATCCATAAAGAATAATGGCGTCATACTCTTTTCATCATGAATGATGACTCAATTAAAGAAAGGAAAAAAAAATTCTTTATTATTTCTTTAAATCTGTTACACATATTCTATAATTGTCTGACCTGAAGCAAAATTTTCTGTACTAGGTAAAATTCAACTTAATTCAACTTTTAACAGAACAGCAAATATTAAATAATTACAAAAGTTCAATGCTGCAGGCAGGTTCTCCTATAACTAATGTAATAACTTATTATACTCTTAATTTCACTAAATTTAGATTGCTTCCAATGTTACAAAACAAAGCCCTTAAGAATATCCTTTTTACGAGATGTCCAGCTGTATACACTACTGTTACAAAATACCCAGCTTCACCACAAAGTTTTTTTTATTATCAGCTACTCTGGTTGGAAAAGATAGTTTTAACAAATAGTACTGACATTTAATTCTATTACATAATGTTTTTCATTACCATTAATCAAATTTTATGTACTGAATTTTAATTCTAGTACATGAAGTTTCAATTCATTCTAATACATATGGTTTCATTACAAATGTTGAATAGTTACACTGTCATTCATAAAAGTATTCATTTCTATTAATTAAGTTTCTTCATTACATCAGTCGAAATTGTACCAGAGTCAAATAATATGGATTCATAACTTTACCAGAAAGAGGAATAAAAATCAAACAGAGGGAAAAAACTAATTAAATTTACACACCAAACTAGTGCAACAAAGCAGAAAACTTTAAAATTTAAAAAGTTAAACAACCTTAAGGGTCAAACCAAAACAACTTCAAACACACATATCCCCCCCCCAAAAAAAAGTTTTTTTCACGCAAAAATTACCTTTAAAGGATAAAAAGATTAACACTGCCAAACTTGATTTAAAGTAAACAATTACAACTTTAAAAAAAATCGACTTACAACAACTACTTTAAAATTGAACAAATAATAAAAGTAAATTACTGATAATCAAAATTAAGAAACAGCATTACATAACAGTGAATCTCAGATGGAAACACAGCAAACTATATTAGCTAAAAGAACATCATTTATATCAATTTAAAAGCTATAATTTATAACCCACACACTTCTCTTCCCCCCCCCAAATTAGCAATCAGTTTGGGATCAATGTCCTCAGTGTGCTTATTGAACTCTCAAATAATTTCAAACATGAAAAGTACCACCAAAGTTCAAGTAACTGCATGCAAATTGTTGGCCAATATTACAGGACTTTTGAAGCTAGATGACATTTGATTACTTTTCATACAGCCTTTCCATGATAACTAGACCAATTAAGTTATGTATTTATTTTTGAGTATTTACACTTAAGGACACTTTACAAAATCCAGTTTCTTGGTCCCATACACTGGACATTCAGGAAATTGAATTTACTTTTCAATTTACATATTTTGATCAGTTAGTCAAATAAATTCCAATTTTCTTTATTCTTTTATTTATTTTCACATGTATACTTTTAGTAAAATATAAATGATTTTTTTTTCATGATATCTATCTGAGATCAAATTATTTTATTATTGTATTAATAACCTAGCATTTTTAGACTGTTTCTAATAAAAAGGTAATGCTATTTCAAATGTTAAAAGCATTTTGCTTGCAGAACAAGTTTTAATTTTTTGATTCAATTAATATTTAAATAAAAGACAAAAACTTTACACGAAATTCTACTGCATTCCCAGAAATTTGACTAAATGCAAGAAAATGGATCACATGTAGTGGACTTTCAAGTTGACTGTGCTGGTGTGGAAATTATTTTGCTTATCAATAGTTGATGCTAATGTCACATGTGACATGTCTTTTCTGCTTTACACAGATTTCCCATTGCACCTCTTTCTCTTTTGATTTTAGATGCTAACTGGATATGAAGAATTAAGTTCCTCTTAAATGATTAATTTTCTTTTATTATCACAATATTTTGATTAAATTTAAACTGAACTGTCAAGGAATGTAAATATTATATTCATATTAAATACCTTCTTTGTTTAAACCTTTTGAAGTCAATCATTTGCACCATACTGCATATCGACCAGATAGAGCTCTGAAACTGTGATTTGAAATCTTACGTATTCGAGTATAACTTTCAAAAACAGAACTTGACTGAATGAATCTCAAACCAATATTATTGTGTCTTCATATTGGATCAATTAAAATTTCTTGGACCTTCTTTACTTTCGACACATGAAAAAAAAAAAGGGTGCAAGTTCTTTTTATTGTTCAAGATGCATATTGACAAATTAAAAAAAAGAAGAGATCTGTCCAAAAGGGTTTAATAACTAATTAAAAATATTGACAATTACAATAAAAATGATTAAAAAGTATATAATTCTTTTGTCACAATTAACTGAAAAAATTAATAACACAAAAATTGTTTGATGATGAAATATTGTTGAAAGGAACGTAATTAATAGTTAAGAATACTTAGATAGCTTGATAGAATACAGATGTAAACTAAATTTAAAAAAAAAAAATTTCAAAATTAACAGTATTTCCAACGTCAGACTACAAGCAGCACTGTCTTAAATGCTGCTTGAGCTGTTTCTCAAAATACTGAAATGCATTCGATCAAATTGTCCAGATTAATGGTGGTAAATAAATTTTCTGGGGAACTGCTATCGATAAAAATTCTAAATTGAGTAAAGCTGAAAAATTGATTTGTTTAGATAATTTTCTTGTGAGGCCTGCTGCCATAACTATTTCCATTTTAGCATTAAAAGAAGAAAATTAAGATGCAGCTTAAGACCCTATGCAATCTGGATATGGAAAAAATAATCTTCCAATTAATTTTCATTTAGGACTGTTGTTAGGACCCTTAGTTTAGAATTCAAGCGATACTGTTGGTTTAAGATAACTATTTGATTATGCTGAGATTCAGATCAGAAATTTGGAAGCGTTGGGAATAGATTCAAATTTGTATGGAAACCTGCCTGCACACTTTCTGGGAAAATTTAATCAGGCTACATTGGTTTGTTTACATAAATCAAAAAGGACTCTAAGAGGTTTACCAGATTTTTTTTTTTTTTTTTTTTTTTTTTGGCTGAAATCATGCAGAGAGCATCATTCTGTCCATCAAACCTTAACAAGTGTCCTTCTGTCATCAGAAACACTCAAAGCAATTCTTTGTGATTTCTAAAAGGAGAAAAGGAATATTCCAGTTTGGATAACAATACTATTAATGAAGAATTTAAAATTACGACAACTTCTTATTGTCAAACAAAAAATGAGTATACAAAAAATCAAGAGAAGATATTGGTCAGACAGCTTCAGCAAACTATACTGAAGAATAGGAAGAGAGACTTTTGTACGATAGGCACTCAAACTCGGAAAGAGAATTCAGTGATTCTTCCTCGGTATAAAGGAAGAGAGGCCATTTCAAATATCGTGCAAATATCACAAGAATTAGATAGGAAAGCAATGACAACCCTAATCTCTATAGGAAAGTTGCGGGAAATTGAAAATATTTTGTCTGCATATATCTCAATTCCACATGCAGATTTCTCGAATAAAACTAAGAATTTGAAAGGCTTGAAATTATCCTACTCCTGCAAGGGATACCAAAATCATAAAACTGCAGTTCTGATAAGGGCTGATTACTACTACTTACTTGTTACAGCAAAGGTTAACAGTATAAATATGAAACTT